CTATTTGAATAGTTTAACAGTATATTGGTGAGTAGATGGCTGCGGAACTCGCTGCGCTCGTCCCGCAGAGGTCCACCCATAAGTTCCGCAATATTCCACTTATTTGTACAGGGTGTTTTTTTTATATATTGACACCCCATCTATAGCCTTTACCTTCATAGGTAGAAGAAAGGTGTAAATACAAAGGTTGTACAGTTTTGGCTGAGTTTTCAGAAACCATGATCACAAACAGAAATTGAATATCCGAAATGTGAAATTCTGCATGCGTCCAGCTTTTTTCAAATGGGATGCCCTATATATTTCATTCTATATTCTATATTCTTGAAGAGTACAATGCCCCGATCTTTATTTGATTGAGCAATCTCTCATATATTTTGCTCCAAAAATTGTAAAAATACTATCCTACTACTGATTTTGTGAACCATTCTACCTCTACAGGTGGAAGCTGCAGGTAAAATTTGAGGTACTTGGTTTCTCTGATAGTATTTTAAAAAATTTTAGAACCAAATATGTTGGAGACGTTCAAGTAAATATAGACAAACTATATAGTTTTGAAATCGGGAAATTGTGTTCTTCAAGAATATAGAACCAAATACATATAGCGCATCCCATTTGAAATAAGCTGAAAGAATGCAAAATTTCACATTTCTGACATTCAATTTTTGTTTTTGACCATGGATTTAAAAAATTTGCGCAGCCATCTCCTCGAGAGTTTAATGAAACTTTATAGTACAAGAGCCAGTGAAAAAAAATCCGGCTGATTTTATTATGGCTGAAAAATTTAGGAAATGTAGAATCAATCATGAACAATACGAAATCGCGTGCCTGCCTGCTCGTATCGGTTGCGTTTATTAATAAAAAAATGTTTAACGAGGTTTTGTAAAAGCAAAAACCGACTCATCGCGTTTTGCATGAAAATTTGTGTGAACATAGAACAAACACCCCCAAGTATGATTTCGAATGCCTGTCTACCTAAATCAGTTGCTAAATAGCGCCTGTCAAATAAAAATCGACTGAAATTTTTCTCAAAATTCGACTCATCGCGTTTCGAGTGAAAATTAAATATATCACAGTTAAAGGCATTAGAAAAACATTTCTGACTGCCTGCCCGATCAAAGCCGTTGCTTTCTAATGCCTGCCTGGTCCCAAAGTTCGTAAAGTATAAAAATATGCCAGACTTTTTTGACGACTTCCCTTCAACTGAGTGACAAAAACCCTTTCAAAATCCTTCAAAAGAGTGTCGATTAGCCGGCACCACAATAATATATTATGCAATGATCATGTAATGATAGCTATTAATACACGAGCATTTTGTAGGATACGAAACGAGCCGCAGGCGAGTTTCGTTATATAAGATGCGAGTGTATTATTGGCCATTACATGAGAGTTGCATACACTATTTTGTCTACTTCCATTAATAAACGAAATACATATTTATATCAAGAATAGTAAACTTCTCAACCGGTGACAATTGTTGACAACTATTGACAATTTCGAAAATTAAGATCTGGACGTCATTTGGGGATAAATTCTGCACTCGATTTATTAATTTGTTGTTGTTTCTTTTGGTAAATACTAATAGAAACAATCCAAAATAAGTCTGTTATTTTTATATAAACATTGTTCATGTTCAAAATAACTCGATTCCAGTGGCTGAAAAATCTGTATCATAATAAAAATCTGTATCATAATGAAGTTCATTATGAAACAGATATTATCGACTCTATAATTTAAGTAATTAATAAAACCATTTAATTTCGGTGATAAAGGTTGATCTAGTTATGAAAATTACAATAAGCTTCTTCAAGAGAAAAAAAAAAGTCTTTACATTAGCTACCTCCGATGAAGGGTAACAGCTAAGTGTTCTCATCAACACCTCAATGGTCCGAAGTTCCCATGTGTGTATAAAGTACATAAATCCATAATCCGTCTAGGTACCCCAATGTACTACTGTCGTCAAAGTTTTCGACGATAACACAGATTTTAATCGTTTAAGAAGCGTATTATGAAACGTCAGTAGAAAAAAATATTTTAACGTGAATTTGCAAAGCGGAAAAGTAACGTTTGAAAGAAAAATTTGTGTAACAAAATTATGACAATTGACTCAAAATCTCCATTGTCAAGCAGTCATTCGCCAATGGTGCAGGGTGTTTCTTTATAGCTAGAACACTCAGTAACTTTTTTATTATTGAAAATAGAGGGCATGTATAAATTGAAAAATGTCTTAGTTAATTGCAACGATCTTAATCGTTACGACGATATTTTTTTTACGCCATAGGTATACAGGGTGCGCCAAAAAAGTCATTTTTTTTTTTAATGGATTGCCCTGTATGTTTTTGAATTTTTAAAATTCTAAAAAATTAGCTTCACAAAAATTTCAAACACTATTTGGATAACAAAAATTCACAGGACGTTCCATTGAAAAATAACAGTTTTTTGACTGCACTTAAGACTGCAATTTACCAAGAAATTTGAACATGCACTCTATTTTCAATAATCAAAAAGTAACTGAGAGTCCCACTTATACACAAAGTCCCAGTACCAGATCTGAGATCAGAACTTTTGTATCCAGTGACTTCACCTGTAACCGGCTTGGCAATGGCGTCAAACACTCATCCCAGAATCCCAGCAGTACTAATATTACCAGCTTGTTGAAAAATCATTATCAGTACCTATCTTGGTATTAGTTATTTATACACCAAGTGAGTTAAATGAATGTTTATTCATGAGAAGAAAGTTTAACCCACGAGCCCTAGCGAGTGGGTTAATTTTCTTCGAATTAATAAACATTTTAACTCACGTGATGTATACAAAATTTTATCCGATTTTGTGGAAATTTGGAATATAAAATATAAGGAAAAATGCCGAGAGTGAGTTAAAATCTTTTTAAATCACTGAGGTGATAAACGTCTACTTACCTTTAGTGTTATGCGTTCAATAATGTCATTTTTAAACGTCAAAATGGGATAAAATATGTCGATTATTTAAAAATGTGTGTATGTACAATATAATATGTTGATCCTAACTCAGGCATAAAGTATTTTTCCTGCCCTGCTTTCTTGAACTCCGCTTCGCGTCGTTCGGGTCAACGGCAGTCGTGTGCAGGAAAGTATAACTTTCTGCACTTGATAGGATAATAACTATTGTTGTGCCGGCCACCTACTACTGTTTTGAAGGATTTTGAAGGGTTTTTGTCACTCAGTTGAAGGAAAGTCGTCAAAAAAGTGTGACAAAACTGCTACGACATCATTGTTCTTTGTGCATCTCTGGGTCGGCACGGTCCATGCGTTTTTATTTTGTGAATTTGAGTATTCCACCTGGCATATTTTTATACTTTGCGATTTTTGGGACCAGGCAGGCATTAGAAAGCAACGGCTTTGATCGGGCAGGCAGTCAGAAATGTTTTTCTAATGCCTTTAACTGTGATATATTTAATTTTCACTCGAAACGCGATGAGTCGAATTTTGAGAAAAATTTCAGTCGATTTTTATTTGACAGGCGCTATTTAGCAACTGATTTAGGTAGACAGGCATTCGAAATCATACTTGGGGGTGTTTGTTCTATGTTCACACAAATTTTCATGCAAAAAGCGGTGAGTCGGTTTTTGCTTTTACAAAACCTCGTTAAACATTTTTTTATTAATAAACGCAACCGATACGAGCAGGCAGGCACGCGATTTCGTATTGTTCATGATTGATTCTACATTTCCTAAATTTTTCAGCCATAATAAAATCAGCAGCTAAATGGACTAATTTGTGTTTCACAAAGAGATTTTTGCCTTTTTTTGACCGGAAAAGTTTCTGGGGACGCACGAGTAGCTATTTATTTTAAAAAGCGCGTGTTCAATTTAATTGGATATCAGGTGTTTAAGGTGTTTTGTTGAAAGAATCTCGTCATGTACACTGAAATTCCATTTGCGAAAAATAGAACCGTAAACAGTCTGAAGGCAGACCGAGAAGTAACGAGAGATGTTCGTATATGAAAAGAGCAAACTCGCTGTGATCTTGATGGTTTTGAATAAAAGACAGGACAGAAGAGAGAAACTCTCCGAAGCACATCTGTGCTTATTTGATTGAAGGATCAAAAGCCTAACTGGTATTTATTTACATTAAAATACATAATAGCAAAAAATAAACCACTACAAAAAGAAGCCTCAATTACTTTTTCACCAGTAAAAAATCCAATACATTTTTAAGCATGTTTTCACAGACACTCTAATAAAAATTGCGCCCCAAAAAGAAACATAAAAGCGTATTAATATTGCCAACCAGTTGTGTCTCTCAGAAAAAACAACCCTCAAGAAAAACACAATATTAACTTAACAAAATCCATATAGAAATAATTTATTTCGCTAGCATGGCTTCAATATAAATAAATTATCATAAGGGAAAATATTATTTTCTAATAAATTCAAACAATAAATAAACCAAAACCAAACTGGGCTAAGCATTATACTTACCTTGAACAATAATAATAATTGTATTACATTTTAGTCATCGCATCAAAACTATATGAAACTGAATATTGACGTTCCAAACCCATCAAATGCTAAATAGTATTCCGGATCGTACAATCGTATTGAAATGATTTGTAGCTCCCGCAGCATTAATGAATTATGGAACTAAACAATGTTGCCAAGGATTAAATTGTTCCTTCTCCAATACAATTATTATTTGTTACAATTTAAAATGTTTGCTTATCTAATGGAAATTTTCAAAAATAAATATGAAATATTGTTGGAAACTTGTTAAAATGTATAAAATTCGGTTTTTATGTAGGTAGCTGAGCAATAAATTATTCATATACCTATAATATAAATTTTGCCAAACAATAATAACAATTACCTACATTGAACAATATCTAAAATTAAACAAATTTCAAAATAATTCGATTAAATTCAAATTGTTTACTTATTGGATTAACAGTTAATTGAAATAATTTATATTAAAATTTGCAAGCGTTTATTTATATAAATTACTAATTTGGTTTTATCTCTTTAGGCTCAGAGTGGAAAAAGCAGGAGGCGGTTGGTGTCCAAAGCAGCAAATCGAAAAAGGAGTACGTGAATTTATAGAAATAGACCTAATTGAAGTCCACGTAGTCACGGGAGTACAAACACAAGGTCGCTATGATAGAGGAAGAGGTCAAGAGTACGTGGAGGAATATTTATTGGAATATTGGAGGCCCGGGTTAGAAGAGTGGAAAGAATATAAAAGATGGGATGGAAAACATGTAAGTAAAATTGTGTCCCCGCTAAAGCAATATACGAATTTAAAAGATAGATGTTCCCGAAAAGGTCCCTCAGGAATTTTTCAGCATAGATGTTCTAGAACGAGAAGGGTATTAGTCACAGGTGAAATAAATTCTACGCGGCATGTCACGTAAGGCTCTTAAGAAATGCAAACTGAATACGTGGACTATCTTTGTCTCTGGACCTGGCAGGATTTTACCCCTTAAATTTTCAATAGGCCAGAGAGATTTAACAATTTTCCTCCTAATAACAGACAATCTAATTATTTTTGAAACAAAAGAACAATGAAAAATTCATTTAGACAAAACTAGGACCTCTACAACACTTCTATTGTCTTCACTAAAAACTGCAAGAAAATTTCCGCGAAAAATAATAATACAAACCTCCAGTTTCATTTAAAACATTGTCTTGCTCCTTGCTCGACGAACCTCCAGATAAGATTGCTTTGTGAATCTTTTGTATAGTTTGTCTGCAATAAAGAGAGCAAGAAAAAAAATGTCTTTGCTTTGTAAGGGACTCTTCATGTATGAGGGATGTCAGTCGCAGCAAGATTTCTGTGTCAGTTAATAAAACTTTGGCCTCGCAGTTCAATTAACGTAAAATTTTGACTGTTAAAGTGGATCTTTTTATAATTCTAAAACGGAACTAGTCAATTAACTAAAATTAAACATTCAAGATGGGATACTTTTTATAGAAAATTAACTTAAAACTTGATCCGGTTATTCTCAATTTATATTCTGCAACGACCTAGTTCTCTACTCCAGAGAATACGACCAAGACTGTTGTAGTGGTGCTTGAAATTCGTGCATTGAATTGTTGCACAACTTTTAGCGAATATTTTTTCTCAAACTTTAAATTGTAATAAATATAGAGGTTCGCAGTAGAATAAAAACAAAGACAATTATTCCAAATGACCCTATTGAAATAATTTGTAGTCGATAAAAAGGTGGTAAAAATATTTTATCACCTATTCGCCATTCTCGGAAGTTAAGAAACACGCGAGAACGTTGCTAACGATATCGATTGGCCGAGTAAGATTGCGGAAGATTTATAATGGCACCGGAATTAACTCGAACTGATGAAGATATATGACCAACCCTGTTAAGCCCTTTATACTGTGTGTGTGTGTGTGTTTGTCTCTTTCATTTTTTTTTTTTTGAGTTACTTCCTATATACATACAATTTTCTTAAGCGACTATATGGGTACAGGGTGTTTTTTAATATATTGACATCCCACCTTGACCTACAGCCTTTACCTTTACAGGTACATGAAAGGTGTAAATACAAAAGTTGTACAGTATTAGCTAACTTTTTGGAAAATTGAATGTTCGAAATGTGAAATATTGCATGCTTTCAGCTTTTTCCAAATAAGATGTGCCATGTTTCGTTCTATATTCTTGAAGAGCACAATTTCCCGATTCACCTATATATAGGTAGAATGGTTCACATAATCAGTAGACTAGTAGGATAGTATTTTTACAATTTTTGGAGCCGAATATATTGTCACGCTTAGGTTGGTTGTGGTCAGCGGTGCCACCACTTTTACTTCGCTTGGCTGCGTCCACTAAGGGTTTATCTGAAAAGAGAGGATATGGGGGGAAGGAATACCACCACGAATATTTAATTTGTTTTATTACTAAACCTTAATTACACTTTATAGTTCAAGGAGATTTACCAAAATCCTAACACCGCAGATGTTCGTCCCTGGTGGACCATGTTTTCGATTGTCAACTCGAAATGTAAGAATGTTTAATGTTTAATGTAACCCAAGATGCACTAAAAGAACGGGCCCCCTAAGGGCATAGTTCTCGTAGGTCTAAACTTGGGGACGCTGTGACACGGCTGCTATAGACGAGACCTTCATCCACAAAGTTTCACAGTCTCGACAATACCTAGTCGTACCCAGCTAAGAAGGCAGGTCTTTAGGCTCGTACCTAATCAGGCATAAAGCAGTCCAGACCAACCTTGCTTTGCATTGCCGCAGTGCGTGAATTTATATTGAAATTATTTCTGGCATAAGCAAAATCGGTCTGTTTTTAATAGTCCGGGGTGACCTCCTTTGGAAATTTACTTAATTTATGTAATGCGTGGGCTTGTGTATACGTTTATGAGTTGACAATATGAGAGATTGTGCTCTTCAAGAATATAGAATGAAATATAGGGAATCCGATTTGAAAAAAGCTGAAAGCATGCATTTATGACATTCAAATTTTGTTTCTGGTTTGAAACAAAATTTGAATGTCATAAATGGTTTCTGGTTTCTGAAAATTCAGCCAAAACTGTACAACTTTTGTATTTACACCTTTCTTCTACCTGTAAAGGTAGAGGCTGTAGGTGGGGTGTCAATGTATACCTACCTAAAAAAACACCCTATACAAATAAGTGGATTATTGCAGAACTTATGGATGGACGCATCCATCTACTCACCAATATACTGTTGAACTATTCAAATAAGACACTCTTCTGAAACGTGTAGTTTTTTAACTAATTAGAATAACTGACATTGAGTGAGTCAGGTTAGTATCGTACTTGAACAATATATTACTTAATGAATAGTTGACTGCGGAACTCGCTTCGCTCGTCCCGCAGAGGTCCACCCATAAGTTCCGCAACAATCCACTCGTTTGTACTTGAATAATTGTCACAATATATTACTAGTTTGATAAAGTAACATTACTAATTCCTGTTAAAAGGCAAATTGACAAAAAGTGGATAATCTTACAAATTCTGACTTTATATAATAAGTTATTGTTCAAATACAGGGTGTTTTTTTATAAATTGACACCTCACCTACAGCCTTCACCTTTACAACTAGATAAAAGGTGTAAATACAAAAATTGTATGTACAGCATTGGCTAAATTTTTAGAATCCATTGTCATAAACAAAAATTGAATGTCAGAATTGTGAAAAGTTGCATGCTTTCAGCTTTTTTCAAATGGGATGCCCTATATTTGGTTCTATATTCATGAAGAACACATTTTCTCGATTCCAAAACTATATAGTTTGTCAATATTTGGTTGAGCCATCTTCAACATATTTGGTTCTAAAAATTTTAAAAATACTATCAAAGAAACCAAGTACCTCAAATTTTTATGATAAAATTTCAATTTTTTTATGTTGACATTTTGTATCTTGATGATTATTCGGGACCCCCCAAACTCCATACACTAAATTATTCTGAGATTTGGAGCCGAAATCTATGAAATAAAGCACTCAGAAAAATTGAAAAATTGATAAATTACCCCAAATTGCTTAACACGATTTTATCTCAGGAACTATAAGTCCAAATGAGGTGAAATTTTTCTCGATTTTTTCATGGTGTCAGCCTTTTTGTCATAAAACTATATTATAGTGCGAACAACAAAATGTACAGACAGAGGAATCACATTTCAAAGGCTCATTTGTTATTTACTTTTTTCATTGAAAAGGGGAGATATCAATTAACTTACGGGTTACGATTTTGCCCTTCATCAAAGGAATTTAATTGCCTTTAGAAAGCGGCTATATACACCCACTATATGTGTTTCTGACGAGTGCAAATTTAAACATTGACCCAGTCGTCTGGAATAAATAAATTTGTTGTTTGCTTACGCTTGTCTACTAATTGGAAAATTTTAGTAGTCAGGTACTATAGCGGTGGCGTTTGGCGTTTTCTATTTACTTATTACTTTGTGTATGTTCGCCTCGTACTATTGTGGAAATAATAATTTGCATTTCACATTTTAGATTTTAGATTCTGCATTTCACATTTCAGATTTCAGATTCTGCATTTCACATTTTAGGTTTCACATTTCAGATTTTAGATTTAAAATTTCAGATTTTAGACTTCATAATTCAGATTTCATATTACAGATTTCATATTTCAGATTTAATTACTTCAAATAACTAATTAAACATCGTGGCAAATTGGCGACCAACGTGGGGCCTATTGCGTTCCACCTCAGCTCCATTTCGCCTATCAGGGCTTTTGGGATCACTGCCAGTGTCATCATTTGGAACAACCTTTTTAATTTCATTTTTGGCTGCCCACACTAAAATTTTATGTCTGCTCGGTGCCTTACCCGCAGGGGAGGTATTAAGCCTGGCGGAGCTATATTTTGGGAGTTCTTCGCTGGCATCCAGTGCAAGACCAGTGCACGAGGTTCTACTATGGAATTTGGAAGTAGAACGCAATACTGGTTACGCAAAAAACTCAAATGTCATCGGCAAACAAAAAAAATAAAATAAAAAACAAAAATGTATTGGAATTTTTTTTCTGTCTGCACTGGGTACCGGTAGAGAACCACCCGGGGGGATTTCGCCACAGTATAACCAAAGCTTCCTTACTTCTCTTTCTTTTCTTTCCTTTTTTTTCTCTTCTACCAGTTTGCTTATTTTTACCTTTACCTTCATTTTACCTGGTTTTTCTCAAGGTGAAATAAGCAGATACTTTACACGAAGCTTTACTTGGACTTCATATTTGATGTCTTATTGATGTTTGGTTTTCTCTCTCTCTCTCTCTAACGTTCCCTCTGTGTCTCGTCTCTTAAGGTTGGCTGATCGTCGGAAAAGTTTTCCTCTGTTACTTTTCCTGCTGTCGTAGGAAAGGGGGAGTTGTGACAATTTAATTTATGCGTACTTATTTTTCTCCCTTCGCCAATCTATCCTTAAAAATGTATAGTCTCATTCGCCAAAGTATCAGGAAATAAATTTGAAAAAGTAGATATCTGCATATTTCCGCGTCGAGTCAGCGACGTTGCCAGGTTTTATTACCTCTTTCTTTCTGTGATGTTTCGACTGACGTTAGAGGTATGTCAAAAGTCATCTGATTTGGAAGATCCAATTGTGAGGAAGCGAAAATTCAGGGATAGGGGTAGGATTTGACTATATTATATTTTTTGACTATCTGAGCTGATTTAAATTATTTTTTTGCCCCTGAAGATGAAACTTTCTAGTTTCGAAACTGATAGGCTTTTTAATTCTAATAAAGATATTCTTGTA